TGTAGGGGTTTGGGCTTCAGGGTATAGTACAATTACCCTGCCCTTCTATATTGATACTCTGACCCTTACCCAGGCATCCCGAGACCCTGAGACAGGAGCTGTAGATCTCCAGCCGCTGGCTGTGCGCCATGACGAAGGCTGGCAGAGATTGTTGCAGAATGCACAGCTTCCAACACCGACGGATACAAGTTTTGCAATGCAGTTACCGCTGGAAAGAACTGATAGTGGAGTCGTTACTAGAGTTCGCCGATCGCGCAACAGAACGACTTATTGGGTGGCATCAAGACACAATGGCAGTTACTAGCCGCAAGGATGTTTCAGGGTTGCAGGGGCAAGCCCATCTCCTCGACCACAAGGCCATTGCTATGTTGGTACGGAGGTCTGGTCGGACTGATCGGCATTAGGGCAGCCGTAACTTCCAAGTCGAACACCGCACCCCCAGCCCCCAGCACCCTCTGCAGCAGATGCCACCCCTACAGCCCGAGGCAGACTGCGAGCCCTGCAGCCCAAGCGTCAGTCCCAGGAACCCAGTCTCCTAAACCTCGAGGTTAACTTCACTCTTTCCGACCCGGCGCCCCAAACCCTGCGCAAATGCTTGAATGCCTCTCTTCCGTTTGCTGCCGCGTCCTTGAGGAGTGAGGTCATAGCGTGCTCGCCTCAAGCAGGCCTCCTGATGGCGTTGTGGAAAAGAGCACAACAGTGACAAGCACAACATCACAACATGAATGCTCAAAAAGAGTCGAACTACTAAAAGACTCCCACCACCACCACCCTCACCACCACCACCACCACCACCACCGCCACCACCACCACCATGACGACTACTACTTCTACTACTACTACTACTACTACTACTACTTCTACTTCTACTTCCACTGCTACTTCTACTTCTACTTCTACTTCTGCTGCTACTGCTGCCGGGAATCAGAACAATAATCGCAGGCGACGGAGGCCTCGGCTTGGGTGCTCTTTGTTGGGCGATGCTTCGGAAGAAGCTGGACAAGCGGATCGAGCTGAGACGATCGGATTGGACAGGCCGGAAATCCACCTTTGGGGGCTAAATCGGAGTTTTAGGATTTAGGGCTTTGGGCATTCAGGGTTCGGGGTTTGACGGGTTTATGGCCCTAAACCCTAAACCCTAAACGGACCCTAAACTTGGGTTTAAGGATTCAGGGTCTACAGCATCTATGCTGGGCTTGGGGGGTTTTGTGTATGTAGGGCTTAGGGTTGAGGCTTCTTGGTGTGTAGGGTCTTGGGTTTAGGCCTTCGCTCTGTTGTGGTTCAGTATTCAGGGTGTTGAGGTTCAACGATACACACCTAGCGAACCCCAAAACCCCCGTGCTCTAGGATTCTATTATGAGATCCTATATCCAGGTGTCTTGGGTTCCCATGCAGGTATGTGGTAGAAGCACGATGATAGCATGGATCCGATGGATGATTCAACTTACGGAGGACAAAGTGGAGCCATGAATATGGGAAGGGTGATGATGTTGATACCGCATCCGGCAAGAACGGCAAGAACAACATGAAGCAAGAAGAGAAACTACGGTCGTCGAAACCCGGGGTGCCGGGTTAGTCAGTCAGACTTGATCAAGCGGATTGCAGGGAGTTCCAGAAAGCAAAGTATAGGGACCCTAGCACGAACCCTCAACAGTGGGATGCATTTTCGTTCTGGGGAGTTCCAGCGAACAGGCACTCCCACCGTTAAGAGGCCCCCCACCACAGCATAGAGGGCCGAACAACTAGTATGACGAATCGACGGTTTCCATATATAGCTATACTGTACAAAATACCCCAAGCCCTACTATTCTACATGTTCAGGTCGCAATATTGCGGCTTCACGATCAGTTTAAGTTGGCTGTGGCCAGGACCTCTCAACGACGAGCAGGTGCAGTACGCTGCATGTGATGCCTTCGTGGCTGTTGAAATTATGGAGGAGATTTGGCTGTGGGGCATATCATGGGATAGCTGTATAGCCATATATACAAGTGTGTACATGCACATGTATACATATGTAGATGTGCATGCATGCCTGCCTGTCTGCCTGCTTGCCCGGCTGTCTGGCTGTCGTACGTATGTATGTATGTATGTATGTATGTATGTATGTATGTATGTATGTGTGTGGAAACATATATATATATATACACATTATATATATATATACACAGAAATATATTATGTATATATGTAAGTATTTGTACACATATTTGGTGTGGGGGTCGGCGTTGTTGAGCTGTCGCCCAGCGCCCTCCAACTGCAAGTGCATTTGTTAAGCCCGCCAATTACCAGCTACGGCCAAGTGCACAAGCTGTTTGGACACCACCACAGAAACCACATACAAGCCGGAGCTAGTGTAGCAGCCTGGCATAGGCGTTGCCGTCTCTGTAAGTAAGATCTTTGCGGGGTAGGGCTGTCGATTTCAGGGGGTCGGATCTGTGCTCTTCTGTTGTGTTCTGTCCTGTAGGGACTGTAGAGTCTTCAGTCAGCGATGAGACCAGCTTCAGACACTTTGAAGAAAGCAGCCTCCAATGACAAATCAAATTGCACAGAAGCACAGTCGAGCCCGTCATGGACGACTGCTGACGAAACATGATTGGCGCGCTTTTGTCTCGTATGCTCTTGCATGAAGTCATGACACTCGTTCAACCCAGTATCTGGGCTTTGGTTTTGTTCGTTATGGCTTGTAGCAGCCTGCATCAGCAATAGTACCATCATTGTTGCTGTTGTTCTTGTGGTTGATACACATTGATAATTATCCTTGTGCTGCTACTGCTACTGCTACTACTTCTACTGCTACTACTACTACTACTACTACTGCTGCTGCTGCTGCTGCTGCTGCTGCTACTACTAATACTACTACGACTACTCGTACTGCTATTAGTACTACTATTACGACGACGACTAACTACCAACTACTAATTACCACCTACTAACGCTACCTACTACTTACTTACTTACTTACTTACTTACTTACTTACTTACTTACTTACTTACCTATACTACTACTACTACTACTACTACTATACTACTAGACTACTATACTACTAGACTACTATACTACTATACTACTATACTACTACTACTACTACTACTACTACTACTACTACTACTACTACTTGTTGCTATCATGTCTCAAGAAGCAAGCTTCAAAAGCACTCGGCTGGTGAATGACATTTTTCAACACTGATGGCAGGGGGAACATCGTAAATGTATCCGCGTTGTATGTTGCTACGAGTTTCAGGTCAACTGCGGACATCGCAGCCGCACTTTGGTTGTTTCCGCGCGCGCGGGTGCAACCAAGCGCCTTTCTTTCATGTCTTTCTCTTGATTAAACGCGGCAGGAGATGCATGCTCGACATTGCGCACCACCCACAACGACTCGCGAATGGTGCAGCGACCTCATCGACAAGCTGCCCAAAGGCGGCTCTTCTCGTCACAAGTCATGCATGTTGTTTGAGGCATCGACGAGCATATCAGACTATGACTAGGCTGCATCCGAGGCTCCCTGCGGCATGGGAAAAGTCGTGGGTTGTGCCTACCAGAGCGAATGTCCAAACCCTTAAGCCTCTGCAAGGAGGCTTGCAGCCCCGGCGCACGGGGCCAAAGAAGCCTCCGAAGGCGGGTTTCGGTAGCTTCATGATCTCATGGTCTTTGCAAGCAGGATCGAACGGTACATCCAAAACAGAGCAAGGCTAAACAGTCGAGGTGGCTTTGAGGACTGGGGTCAGCAGGCTGTGGTGAAGAAGGTACGGGATCAGTCGGGCGAAGGGGCGTCTGCCGTGAACGAGGCTGTCGTGCACGCCCCAAAGCGCCAGACCTTGTTGTGCCTTGGTCTTGACTTAGCATGTTTCTGGGTTCGGTCCTGCGTGGAGGAGGAAACAGCAAGCTGCGAAGCAACTGTGTTGGGTTCAATGATGGGTTCCTCGTGAGGCACCGTTTCACAGCTGTTAGTTCAGCCCACTGATTGAGACCCGCCGATGGGATACACCAGATGTCTAGCGATTTTGCCAGAGTCTCATAAGCAGCGACGGTTTGCTCTTCGACAAAGCGAGCTTCTGTGAACAAGGCAGAACCAGTCAGGCCAGGGTCCTGACCAGCACATCTATCCGGAAATCGGGATCAAACTAGGCAGGCAGAAACAGATAAAGCGAAAGACGATCAGAGCCGTGACCAAGAAGGTAGGTTCGTGTTTGTATCCGTGACCGAGGTACGGCGGGATCAAGCTCCTCTCCCCGAAAGGCCTTCACCTTGCGAACGTCTCCCATGCCAAAGCTGTCCTTCGCCTCAAGTTGTGTTTCTGTCATACTTGTTTTGGGCCTTGGCACGGATCATGCCCTCAACCCTGCATCCAAGGCATGGTACGTCAAAATGGGCCTTGCGCACAACGTGGAAGGCGCTTCTTCAGAGGCTATCGCGGGCAGGGGGCCGGTGGAAAGAAGGTGATGTCGTTGCCTCAGGGAAGGGGTTTCTAGTTTAAGCTCCAAACCTAATAAAAAGTCCGAAAGCACAAGGATTCTAATCACCACTTCGGTAGAGTTTCGGGGTGCCGTCGCGCGGAGGTGCTGAGCACGGTGAAACTGAACTTCGAGCCGAAGGGCGTCGGCCATGCGGGAGATGCCTTCTATCTGCAGGTCATGGAGAACCAGCCCTTTGTCTTAAAGATCGCTTTGGATGAGTTTGGATCTACAGGTTTAAGCACTGAAACATAATGAAGCAGTGCAGGAAGCCGTTGAGCATAAGTTCCGTGAGTGATTTTGGATGAATTCAGCTTCGGCTGGTTTCCTGATGTTGGTGAACTTCTGCAGTCAGATGTGATTGACCCCGCTGGATTGATGGAAGACTGTCTGGAAGAAGGAATCATGTCTGCTGATCATGTCGATAGGCCGTACCTTGGCATCGGCACGCCTGCTACAGAGTCTACCCTGCTGCTGAACTGCGCGTGAATCCTATGGCTACATGAGGGCCGGAATAGCTAGTAATAGTGTAGGATTCTCCCCAAAGCCCCTCTGACAAAACCTATTCTGATTATCAAAGCCCCGATATTACGCCAAGAAAGCCGAGCCGTGTCAGGTGCGTTGGCTGCGGAGCCAAGGAATATGGTGGGCCGACCCACCCCTTCGGCGTGCTATTACCACATACTATATACCATTAATGTATGAGGCTACTATATACTATTAGCTAGTGCCATTAGTGTTTCTTAGTCAGTATAGATCGGTTGTTAGTTGTTAGTTTCATGCATGTACAAAGGTAAGTAGTTGTCTGGATACGGTTGTTATTCGCGTAACGTGCAATTATGTAGGTATGTACGTATGTAGGTATGTACGTACGTATGCATGTATGCATGTATGCATGTATATGTCTATGTATGTATGTATGTATGTATGTACGTATGTAACTATGTATGTAACAATGTATGCAACTAAGTATGTAGCTATGTATGTATGTATGTACATATGTATGTCACAATGTATGTATGCATCTGCAAACAGACCGACCTGCCAACCTGCCTGCCCGCCTGCTTACCTGCATTCCGACCTAATTACATCCTGCCTTCCCATGGACCGAGCCACCTTCCTAGCTACCTATTAGCACTTGCACTGCGGCTACTCCTACTACTACTACTACGACGACGACGACGACGACGATGACTACTACTCCTACTTCGACCCCCACTCCCACCCCCACTCCCACTCCTGCTTCTTCTCGGACTCCTGCTCCTACTCCTACTCCTACTGCTACTCCTACTGCTACTGCTACTGCTACTCCTACTGCTACTGCTACTGCTACTGCTACTGCTACTGCTACTGCTACTAGGGTTGATGCCCCAAATCCTGCATGACTTTAAACATCCCCACGATTCCCCTGCGACCCCTAATTCTAATATTACTCTCATGACGGAAAAAAGGGCTTGCGCGAATGCCCTACATCCTGCATGACCCCATAGGGATACAACGTTGAAATTCAGTGGTTGCGGGGAAATGGTTAGCGCGACATGAATATGTGCGACGTTGTAGGTAATGCAGGTTTTTGGGCATCAACAGTACCACCACTCCTACTACTGCTACTACTCTGTCTAATTGCAGCTGTTGTTGTAGTGTGAAGTATCCCTACGTCATTGTTGTTGCTTTCTTCGTGCATCTGCAGGACCACCTGGTTCGCTTCTCCATCGTGCCTCACGTTTTCCGCGCGTTGCTTCCACGGCGCTTCAAGGCGTCCCTTCTGCTGAGATCCATGTTGGGAATTGGCTTCTAGGTTTTGGCCACTTGTGGTGCCCTCCGATCACCTTAGTTTGTGGGACAGTAGAGTAGATCTCCTTTCGTAAGGTTATCTAGCTCTCATATGCGATACATTATCCTTGAACCAACCGTAACACCAAGGCCTTAAACCTGAGCCCCCAGGCCAAACAAGTTGCAACCTGGTTGGAGTTTAGGATAGGTTTGAACCCAGCGCCATATTTAACCCGTCTAGAACCTCTTTCAATCAAGCCTCTTTGGAGCCCATGTAGATTCCTGTTTCCAATCGCTACATGTCTAAGAACACCCTGTCAGGAGCACTCGAGTCATGACATCGTCCTGCTTTGCCACAGTCCGACACTTGGGATGTCGGGAGTTGACAACGACTTAAGATAAGTGTGATGATGTGTTCAGACACGCATAGACGCACTTGGCTATATCTGTCTACCATTGCATCTCTACATATCTGTCTATCTATGTGTTTGTCTGTCTATACTGTCTATACTTGTATGCATGTGTGTATTTATTTATTTATAGGGTCACCCCCTCCCCCCGACAGACCACCCCCATTAACAAACCTCTCTCACCGGCGATTCCGGCCTTTTCGTGGGTTCGGGATCCAAGCCCTGCTTTCGGCTGGCTTTAGCCACTCAGCCGAAACCAGAAACCACACAAACAACAAAGATCCGCAGGGAATGCTGGAACTGAATTGATATTTGTGCGTCTTTGTTGGTCTGTGTTCGTGTGGGTTCGAGCCCCCAGCCTGAGACCAAAAAACCAAAGCTCCAGAGATAATGCCGCAACTGCGTTTTTTATGTTTTGTGTTTGTGTTGTTTTGTGTTTCGGTTTTTTTGGTGTTACAGATTTCCTTATTCAATGCCAAGTATCCATAGTAGTCAGAACACCAAAACCAAAAAACCCAAAATCCAAAGAAGTACAACACCACACCAAAAGCAAGCAAGAAACAAAACAGTTACGGCATTCTCTCTGGATCTTTGTTTTTTTTTGTTTTTTGGGTCTCGTTCTTCATCTCTAGTGTTGCGCTTTAAGGCTTTCTGCGCTGTTGCACAGACCCTATGCCAAAGCCTTGACCCTTAAACCCTATACAAAAGCATCTATACACTTCTTTTTAAGATTCTACTATGGTTTTATGTAAGTTTGATCTACAGGTTTTGAAAAACATTCTGTTGTTGAATACTCTCGTACCAGTAGTCGTTTCGGAACTCATCAGTTCGTTCAGTTCTTGTGCTTACAGGTGCCCATATGTGCAACCGGCATTACTAAGCCTCACACATGAGTAGCAACTGCAACAGATCTCGCAGAAGTATCAATCATAAACCATATAATCAGAATAAACCATCTCGTTGTTTGTGTAGTGTTTTCTTCCGTGGTTCCTAGTCTTTTGCAGCCGGTTTTGTGTCTATATGAGAGGTGGCCATGTCTAATTGGTTGCCGTTATCGCTTTTACACAAAGACACTTGTATCGAGCTTCCACTTCTTTACGCACCGTACTTTCCAATTTCGTTCCATGTGTTTTGCAATGCCTTATCATTCACTTCACATTGGTCTATTGCTTCACTACTTCATACAGTCGTATATGCAACACCAAGCCGTATTGCAGATAAATGCCGGTATAGCTGCAATCTTAGTGTATTATCGAAAGAACAGTGAATTTCGGCGATAGCCGCTTTCGTAGCAGTTCGTGACCCGCTATTATGATTGCAGCTAGCGGTATGTGTGTTGGATATAGAATCATCATACACCTACAACGTCCCATCTGTGTTGCAGTCTTTAATCACTAACTTAGCGTAGATCCACTACTTTGCTACTTCATACAATCGTATATGGAACACCAAGCCGTATGCCAGCTAATGCCGGTATAGGTGTAATCTTAAAGCCATTCTATCGAAGTTTTAAGTGTGTTTGTCAAAAGAACAGTAAATTTCGGCAACGGCAGCTATTCGTAGCAGTTCGTGACCCACTATTATATTCGTATCTACCGGTATGTGTACCGGAATTGTGATCGTCATACACCTGCAAGCTTATCCGATCGCAATTCCAGTTCCATTTTTCAGTCATGCCTGAATTACGAATACGTTCTGCTATGCACGAATTATCGTATCAGGTGTAGTCAGTGTACTGTTAGTGTTCGGTTTACCAATGTTATAGTTCCATTACCAACATCCCTGCTACCGTGATTAGAGTTGCCGTTCTGCTTCCTTCAGCATTACTAACCCAATGAGGACTCTGTACCTCCTCATTCGTTAGTTGTAATTACATTTTAAAGGGATACTCACCCCTGTGCGATTAGCTCTGGGTAAACGATGCATTGCTCAACACGTGGTATTCATATTATTTCAGGCCAACCAAACATAATCAGGTACATGTTTGAGTTGTTGCGTCCTGTGTTTATTCACAGTCTGATTAGAGTCTGATTAGTATCTACCTACCAAGGCTCAGTCCCTGAATGTTCATACTTGTGCTTTAATAGAACGATGGGCGAGTCCGGTAATACATTGAAGCTGGAAATCTGATGTTGTTGAAAACTATGTCAGTATGTTGCTGTTTCATAAATTTTGGATTCAGCAGGTTGGTTCTTGATATCTTGTCCTTATACCAACAAACCTTTACATGCTTTTTCTGAGTTTAGTTCATCTCAAGTCCGTGCTTGCGTTACAATAAGTCATGTCCAGTTCTTCGTTTGTCGAACTTAGTGTTGTCTTTGCTTAGAACCATTTAAAAAATTTTACACCTAGCAACTGATGACGATTCAACAATCATGCATGCTACAATTGTGTTGTGGACTTCTGCTACTGTACTGATCAGAGGTCTCTACTGTAAGCACCTGTTAAAGCCATACAAACATGAAAACACAACAACTAGGGACCCCCCCCCCAATGAAAACACTAAGCACACATAAGTCTATCTTACTTACGATGTGCGTATCTGAAGCCAGCATACTAGGTTGGCAGTTTTTTCGGAACGGAGTTTTCCCATACTGAAGGCTTCATTCATAAACAAAGAGGAAAGCTCCGTGCTTACTAAATGACTAAAACAATCAGTGAACTGATCTTCCTCAAGCGGTTTCCGTGCGCGTTGGGGTCGCTCGGGGAGCCAGAAGCCTTAAGACCAAAGCCTTCAGAGCCCTAAACCCTAAAATACGCGAAACCTTAAACTAGGAGCCCTGGATCCTAAACATTGAACCCCCAAACCCACAACCCTCAAAAGCGAGGCCCTAAACCCATGAGGCTGTTACATTCCAGCCTCGACCGCATCCCAGGAGAGACGGCTGGGGTAGGCGGAAATTTGAAGTAATAAAGGAGTCGGTTGAGTAATGTGGGGGACTTAAGTGCTAGAACAGGGCTTCATGGGGTCTCTCAGGTTCGGCTATACTTGTAGCACATTCATGACTGCAGAACAGTTGCAGCAAGAATGATCATGCCATCAGTCGTTCTCTCAGCAAGCTTAGAAGAACACCGGCAACTTGGATGGCCAGTGACGCCACTCTTACAATGTGGTCCTCATGACAACGAAGAGTGCAGTATGGCTGGTACTAAGAACAACGAAAAGGTATCAGTTCTGAGCAATGCATGAAGATACGGCCTATTGGAAAGCTAGTAGTGGTGGTGGTGGTGGTCGTCGTGGTGGTGGTGGTGGTATTGGTGTAGCAGTCGTAGTCGTAGTCGTAGTCGTAGTCGTAGTAGTAGCAGTCGTCGTCGTACGCAGTTGCAGTTGCAGTCGCAGTCGCAGTCGCAGTCGCAGTCGCAGTCGCAGTCGCAGTCGCAGCAGGTAGTAGTAGTAGTAGTAGTAGTAGTAGTAGTAGTAGCAGTAGTAGTAGTAGTAGTAGTAGTAGGAGTAGTAGTAGCAGTAGTAGTAGTGCAGTTCCTGTTGCTGCTGCCGTTGCTGTTGCCGTGGCTGTGGCTGTGGTTGTTGTTGTGGCGGTGGTTGTTGATATTGTTGCTGTTGTTGTTGTTGTGGTCGTCGTCCTCGTCGTCCTCGTTGCTGTTGCTGTTGCTGGTGGTTGTTGGCTGTTGGTTGTTTGTTCGTTGTTGTCTATTGGTTGTTGATTGGGTGGTGGGTGTTGTTTGTTGATGGTTTGAGTTATTTTTGTTTTTTTTTTGTTGTTGTGGTTGTTCTTGTTGTTGCGATTGGTGTTGCGATTGTTGTTGTCGTCGTTGTTGCTGTTGTTGTTGCTGTTGCCGTTGCTGTTGTCGATGGTTGTTTGCTGGTTGTTGGTTCTTGGTTGGGTGTTGGGTGTTGTTTGTTGTTTTTTGTTTCTGTTGGTTGTTGTTGTTGTTGTCGTTGGTTGTTGCGGTTGTTGTTGATGTTGCTGCTGCTGCTGCT